ATTTATTTATTTTTTAACATTTATTTATTGTGTGTGTGTGGCCAGCTCAGCCCACCAGGGGGCAGGGCTGGCTGGCATGTGGTGCTGGAGGATCGAACCGCGGTCCCTGTGCTTTGCCGAGCTTGTTCCAAGTAGGTGCTTTAGACCACTGAGCCATCTCTCCAGCCCCCCAATGGATTTTAAATGTTAATACGGCAGGACTGTTTGGAAAGAAGATGCCAGAACAAAGTTACAGCAGGAAAGAGGAAATTGATGCAGGGTTCAAAGCAACGGAGAGACTTGCTGCTGTTGGATGGTGATGCTTCGGGCAACATGAGACTAAAGCCTCTTAGTTTCCCATGCAGAGAACCCAAGAGCCCTCAAAAACATAGCCAAGGGCTCTCTATCTGCTGTGTGCAAGAGGAAGTCCAAAGGCTGGGTGACACAGGCCATATTCTAGGACTAGTTTTCCACCACTTTATCCCAAAGAGAGAAATACTGTTTGGAGAAAGAAATCCCTTTCAACATTCTTTTGCTGCTTGACCAATGTGCCAGGTCACCCCCCAAAATGGGTGAGTTTCATCTCAACATCTGCCACTGAATACTATAGCACTCATTTAACCTATGGATCAAGGAGTTATTGGAACTTCCAAGAAGTATTATTTACATCACACTTTTTCCAGACAGTGAACATAACTGATGAAACAGGAACAACCTTGCACTAATTTTAGACGGTCTGATGCTACTGAGGGTCTGATGGAAATAAAAGCCCAGCAAAAAGATGAAGAATCAAGAGAAAGAAGGAACTATAGAACCAGAGATTCGCAGCACAGGAAATGGCAAGGGCATTTTCTTTACTTGAAGAAGCACTATTAGGCTCTAAAGTGCAGGACCCCAGCATGGAATGACACCCAAAGGCTGCAGCCTCGGTTCACGATGCCGTCCAGAGCTATGAAGAGGAAAAAGAGCCTGGATCCTACGCTCAAGGGGGTGGGCAGAATTGAACCCATCACAAAAAACTCATTCATCAATATCAGCTGTGAGCGAATTCCACCTTGCCCTTGTTGCTGTTGACCCCCCAGCTGCCTCACCTCCCACCTGCCCACCTTCTCCAGTCTGTAGCCTGGCCATCAGCCCATGTGGGGCAGTCCCCTAGACGCCAGGTGCTGCACTATACTGCCCCACCATTTTAAGATAACTGAAAAGTAAAACTAGTTTACCACACTTGTGTGTGGTTGGGTTTTTTATGCTTTATTCTGCACATTTGTGTCAAAAAGACTTACTTTGTTGGATATACGAATGAATCCAACCTATGCATACCTCCCAGAACAAAGATCCTTCCTAAATTGGAAACTGACTATATTATTCTGCCATAAGGAAGGAAAAATGTGAGTCATTTGTAGGTAAATGGATGCATCTTGAAACAAAATGTTAAGTGACACAAATCTGATATACAGCTTAAATATTACATGGTTTTCATTACATGAGAAAGCCAAAACATACAAAGCAAAATAAAAAATATAAAAAAGACAATAAGGCCAGGTGTACAGGCACACACCTGTAATCCCAGCACTCAGGAGGCTGAAGTAGGAGGATCACTGAGAGTTCGAGGTAAGCCTTGGACGCATGGTAGTTGTTTTCATTTTTAAAGAATAAAACAGCCGGGGAGATGGCTCAGTAGAATAAGCGCTTGCCTGGCAAGTGCAAGGTTCTGAGTTCAATCCCCAGTACCGAAAAAAATAAAAAAATAAAATAAAACATAGTGAAAAACATTAGAAATGATACAGAATATCACTAAACAAAATAACAGGAATTCAACAATGGTTGTTATATTGTATAATATTATCTTCAAATTAGTTGTTTAGATTACCAGATATAAGCATGCAGAAATGGTTTTTTAAAAGATGTAAGAAATTAAAAATAAAAAATTAAAGCATTAACTGCTCCTTTTCAATACACAAGCAGAAATCAAGAGTACAATTATCCAAGCTATCCTGTGTATATACATAAATATATCTTCTTCCCTTCCTTTCTATCCCTTTTCCTTTCACTTATCCCATGTGTTCCTTCCCTTTGAACAGATTCTTTCTCTTTCACAGTATCTATTTTGCCTTTCAGATTGTACTACTCTTTCAGGTTTGTTAAAGTGCTTTTGCCTGGGGCTGGTGAGATGGCTCAGTGGTCTAAAGCACTTACTTAGAACAAGCTAAGCAAAGCACAGGGACCGCGGTTCAATCCCCCAGCACCACATGCCAGCCAGCCCTGCCCCCTGGTGGGCTGAGCTGGCCACACACACACACACACACATAAATAAATTTTAAAAAAAAAAAGATTTTTTTAAAAAAATAAAGTGCTTTTGCCAACTTTCAGTGGAATTCTTAATTTCCTGGATATCTATTTGAATCTGTTTCACGCATTCTGTTCTTTCCTGTATTGTTCAAAGTTTCCATCATTTTTCTACTTTCTATTTTGAAACATTCGAAACATTTTCCTTTCTTTAAGAAAGAGTACACAAGCTGAGTATGGTGGCACACACCTGAAATCCCAACACTTAGGAAGCTGACGCAGGAAGTTTGCTGTGCGTCTGAGGTTAGCCTGGGCTACGTAGTGAGGCCAGCCTGAACCATACTGCAAGATCCCGTCTCAACAACCAAACCAAACCAAATCAAAGAAAAGAAAAGAAATAAAGAGAATGAAAGAATACACATTATATAGAAAAAAACCCTTCAAACTGAATTGAGTTGAAATACATTTTTAAAAATGAAATTTAATAGGCAGGCAGCAATTCCTCAGTATTTTCCTACTAAAGAGGAAATGGAAACCCTGAGTTTCCTGACCTCTGTCGTTCCAAGATTCTGCCTCTTGCCCCAAGTGCAACAGGAAATGATCCATGTTTATCTGGTGAGGACAGAGCATTATTGTGAACTTCTGCCCTGTATCTAAAACCTCCCCTAATAGTAAAATGTAACCTCTGTAAAGAGTATCTACAAAATTCCACTTAGCTCCTCCTTTTGCCCTCCCCAATTTAAAGTAGAGTATAAGACCACCCTGACCCCACAATTTGCTGGCCAGAATTTAGAGAAGTTATTTCTTCTAGGTCAGAGGCAGCTTCATAAAGAGTTTGGTTTTCTCCACCTCTTTTTTTTTAATTTATTTATTTTATTAATTTATTTATTTAATTTATTTATTTGTGTGTGTGTGTGTGTGTGGCCAGCTCAGCCTGCCTGGGGGCGGGGCTGGCTGGCATGTGGTGCTGGGGGATTGAACTGCAGTCCATGTGCTTTGCTAAGCTTGTTCTAAGTAGGTGCTTTAGACCACTGAGCCATCTCACCAGCCCCCTTCTCCACCTCTTTGAGTGCCCGCTCTGTTTCTTGTGCCACGAGACTTGCACCTTACGAGTCCCATAACACCGTAAGATTTACTGTGCAAACCCTGAAAGGATGACCCTGATATTGGGGGAACCCAGAATACTTGCCTTTCCAACCTTCTCCACGCTTCTGCAACTAATGATTCAACCAGTGGATCGTGGACTGCAACAGCAAACCTCAAAAAAACAAGAGAAAATAATTCTATACTCACATGCATTTCAATTTTTTTTTAAATCATGTAATAAAAGTTAAAAAGAAGTGAATTTCAATTCATTTTCCTCTTACACGGGTAGTCCTCACCTCTGTTCCACTCCTCATTTCAGTACTCAGACTTCTTTTTTTTTTTTTTAAATTTTTTTTTCATTTATTTATTTAGTGTGTGTGTGTGTGTGTGTGTGTGTGTGACCAGCTCAGCCCACCAGGGGGCGGGGCTGGCTGGCATGTGGTGCTGGGGGATCGA